TCTCGGGCCGATTCCGGCGCGGATGCGGCAGCGTTGGCTCGCTTATGGCCGCCGCATCTGGAATTAGAATTGGGCAGTGAGTCCACAAGCATCCGGCCCGAGTCCGGTAGCCGGAGCCGGGCCGAGTGGTAAGTCTCCGGCAGGCAAGAATCTAGCCGGAACTGGCCCGAGTATATTTTGCGATCTGGGAAAGCTCTCTCTCTCTCTTTCTCATTCGCGCGTGCGCACTAGCATACACACACACAAGCACCAAGCACACACACAGGCAAAGCTCTCTCTCTCTCTTATTCGCATAGCAATATCCGCGAAACCAGCCTGGAAGTAGCCAAAACCCCTCTAAGACCAGCCTGGTCGACCAGCTAAAACCAGCCAACCAGCCTAGGCTGGTTTAAGCTGGATTTTTCAACAGGGCGCCATCGCAGCAGCAATAAGATCCAAAGGACGGCCGACCGCTTTCACACTAAAATGGCGGAATCCAGGGCTGTTGCTGGGCACTGCTGTTGCAATGGCAATCACCTCTCGCCCCCCGAACACCAACAACAGGCGCTTCGTCATAATCATGCCCCTATAAGAGAATTAAGAGAAAGCTCCTGATTGGTTAGCGCGGTGCGAATGTCCGCTGATTTTCCAACTTGATCGATTTGTGCAAAACACATCAATAGCGCAAAATGCTTAACTCGCGCCATTTGGTTCACACGAATCGTGTAATTCATGCCGCCTTATTCGCGCGTTTAATGCCGCAGGATGTCTATTCACATCTTTGCATTGACTTAACATGTAAATCACTCACGCTTGACGCTTCTTTCGTGTCTGGTGTGAATGCAGCATTGTACAATGACTTGCGTAATTAACCTAATTAACGTAGTTAAGCTTTTAAATTGCAGTGTAAGCTGAAAACTAATGTCTTCTTTCTATTAAACAGAAATTGGGGGAAATATACAGGGAGGCGAATAATTCTGACTTGTAACTATACATGACATCGAAGCCAGTCATACTGTTAGCATACGGATGAATGTAGAAACCTGAAGGAATGTATTTATTTTTTGTATTTGACAATATCGACCCATTTGGAGTTAAAGCAATCAATGTGTTCATATTCGGTTGGAGGACAAACCTCCCCCTTGTGCTCCGTTCGCAGGACGCATCCAGGCGTGACCCAGATTAGAGGGAGGCTTATCTGATCCCCGTCCCGATTCCACACTTCTTTGCTGCTCGTGGAAACTAGTAAAGCATATTTCACCAATTGACTTTATGACAAAAGGAGGAGGATGAGGTTGCTTATCACATATATTATCTAGATTTATATGATATTGGTTTATTGATCGCTACCGCAAGCTCCGACCATGTTCACTCCCAGGAGATGCGTTTAAGTTGAGGGTTTAATATGAATAAATGAAAACAAGCCGTTTTTAGAATTCTCACATTCACTTGGATGTAATTATCTGAGTAATTATAATCAATGTGGTCAATATTTTAACTTTTTATTCATTCATTCATTTTCTTGTCAGCTTAGTCCCTTTATTAATCCAGAGTCGCCACAGTGGAATGAACCGCCAACTTATCCAGCAAGTTTTTACGCAGCGGATGCCCTTCCAACAGCAACCCATCTCTGGGAAACTATTTATTCAAGATTTTATTTATATTTATATTATTTATATAAGATTTTATTATAATAATATATATTTATATTTATTAATAATATATATATATATATATATATATATA